GTAGAACTTGCTATGTTTGGGGCATGTGTCTCTGTTAGGTGGTGCCAGGAGATACAAAAGGTACCTAAGTTCAGGGCCCCTTGTGGAATTCCCATTCAACTCGGGGAAACAGAACATGCCCGTGTGAAATGTTGGGGAACCGTTACAGAACAGAACTGTTCAAAGCGGAAATGCCATATCATCCCAAACTACAGACCCAAGTGTTGAAGGGACCGGACAGCGGGAGAATGATCAGAATGACGATTCATGTAACAAGAAAATCCTTTATAGTCTCAGAATACTTGGGCCTTGGCAAAACCCTCTCACATGCTACCTCATTTACTTCTCCAAACCACTCTATGGAGTAGAGATTATCTTCATTTTAAAAACAAGAAAATTCTATTCAGAGGGATTCAGAGTCTTGCTTCAAGTCATGAGACTCTCATGTGAACCTCCTCACTCTAAACCTGAGGGCTCTCCCCACCAGGCAACACGGCCGGGCACACAGCTGCATTTCGGTTGATAATCAAAACCTGGCAAGAGACTCAACGACTTGCAGAGCCAAACAGGAAGCGTGGGGTCAGGCTATGCTTTAACCCCAGGCCTGGGGGCAGCCTTGCTGATGCTGCTCCGAGAATCTTCCTTTTGCAGCTATCAGGGTCCTTGCTGGGCCTTCCCTTCAGTGCCAGGAGGAGAAGATGCTAAAACAGTTAACAAAGGAAGCTTCTGGAGGTGAGGTAACATCACAAGAAGAATGTGAGGAAGGCAGTATGGAACTGGGCCTGAGGGATGCAAAAGGGCAGAGGGCCGTGAGGCAGGCTGGTGATGGCCTCGGCATCCACCCAGCCCACACGATCCCATAAATCCACCTCTAGATGTCTGTCTGCGTTCCTGCCTTTGCAGCTGATGTTTCCTCCAAGAGTTCTGTGCACAGAGGTGATAATAAAGCCTTACACGAGGAATGAAGCGACCCAAATCTCCCCTGAGTTGGCATCAGGGGCTCAGCAGATCTAAAGGGATTTCTGCGACTGAGTCTTACTAGCGAGTCTCACTGGGCCAGTTCAGAGAAGCACAGAGCCTGGGATTCCAGCCTGGATTTAATGACTTGTTCACATGTCTGCCTCCCCCACTGAATTGGAACGACAACACTGGGCCTAATTCAGATTAATAGAAGAATTTAATCAACACATTAAATTGAACAAACTAGACCTGGCTCTACCTCAGTATGACTTTAGACAGACTCTTGAATGTCTCCATGCCTTAGCTCCTTCAGTTTTCAAACGGGAACAAAACTATCTGCCGCACTGACCTCATCTGTCATGGGAACCAGGTAAGTAATGAGCAGTAATTTTTAAAAAGACTGATTTATTTATTTTAGAGAGGGAGGAGAGAAGGGCAGTGGGAGAGGGAGAGAGAATCTTAAGCTGACTCCACCCTGAGCCTGATGCAGGTCTCGATCTCATGACCCTGAGATCACTACCTGAGCCGAAACCAAGAGTTGGTACACTTAACGGACTGAGCCACCCAGGCGCCCCTACATATGAGCAGTATTAATGCTTTCTAGTCCCACAGAAATATAAAGGATTAATTTGAGCACTTATAAAACAACTTGCAGGTGACCCTGGGTTGGATACATCATATACTTGGGAAATTTCCCCCACGTTATTTTTCTGTCAAAACTTTCACAGTAGACCCTCTTAGGAAGTATTTTTCTGCCTCACTGATTCAACCCCTGATGGATATTAGCAGGCCAGTAAAGGGAAGTTTTCTCTGGGACTGCGAGAGATTGCTAGGTGTTCCTCCATCAGTCTGGGTGGAGCCATCAGACAAGGTAAAAAGAAAGTAAGAGCCGTGTGCCTTCAGGAATCTCAGTGTTCTTCCTGTTGACCATGGGCTTAATTCAACCAAAGACTGGGAAAGGGAACATAGCTATCATTAAAAAAAAAAAAAAAAGGCAAAAAACCAGCACTAGGAAATTTCATTTTTAAGGAACTTACAGGTATTTGCGATTTTTCTCTTCTACATGTGGGTAGCTGCCCCTGTCATGGGACCAGCCAGTCCCTGGGCCTTCCCGGAGCAACCCGAGGGAGGGCTGGGATCTCTCAGCTGTAGCTCTTCTGCACACAAGGGCCCTGTGGCCCAGAGGGTCCTGTTCAAGTATCAGGTGCTCTGTGGGAAACCACACACAACAGGTCTCCCTGAGACCTGCCAACACCTGGACCAGGTGAGCACATCAGCTCTCCATCTGGAAGCCATGGTTTGGGTGAGAGGGAGCTCTGCTGGGGTGGAAAGTCTGGGGCAGCAGAGAGCCCAGGGGCATGGAGGCTCACTGAGACGGTGAAAATAAACATCACTCTTTCTTATATTCCAACACAGACCCAGTTTTCCCATTTAGTTTCTTGTCACTTACTGTTCCCATCATATGGATCTCTCTCCCTCCCCTCCTCCTCCCTCCAACAAGGAACACCTCCTCCATTCCAGGTCCTTGTACAGCACTGAACCGGTTACCAAGATAACTGCAAAGACCTCAGTCTCCTGGGTGACAGGTAATCCTACTATGGGATGCCTTGTCTTATTGCTTTATTGTGCTTCCCAGATACCATGCTTTTTTTTTTTTTTTAATTGAAGGCTTGTGGCAAGCCCGTGTCAAGCAAGTCTACAGGCACCACTTTTCCAACAGCATTTGCGCAGTGTCTCTCTTGGTGTCACATTTTAGTGATTCTCACGAATAATTCAACTTTTTCATCATTATTATATTTGTTATGGTGATCTGTGATCTTTGATGTTACCATAGCAATTGTTTTGGGGCACCATGAACCATGCCCATATAAGACACATATAATAAATATATTATTATATATATAATAAATAAACATTGTGTGTGTTCTGACTGCTCCACCAACTGACCATTCACCACCACCCCCTCCTTGGGCCTCCCTGTTCCCTGAGACATGATATTGAAATTAGGCCAATTAATACCCCTCCAATAGCCTCTGCGTGTTCAGGTGAAAGGAAGAGTCGCCTGTCTCTCACTTTAAATCAAAAGCTATAAATGATTAAGCTGAGTGAGGAAGTCATGTTGAAGCTGAGAGGCTGAAAAAGCTAGGCCTCTTGAACCAAACAGTGAGCCAAAGCTCTTGAAGGAGGTTTACAAGTGTTATTCTAGTGAACATGCAATGATAAGAAAGTGAAACAGCCTTACTGCTCATATGGAGAACGTTTCGGTGGTCTGGATAGAAGATCAAACAGCCATGACTCCCTTAAGCCAAAGCCTAACCTAACTTATGGAGTTATCCATAAGATCCAGCCAAGATAATTAATGAAGATGGCTACACTGAACATCAGGTTTTCAATACAGACAAAATAGCCTTATAGTGGAAGAAGATGCCATCTAGAACTTTCATAGCTAGAGAACAGAAGTCAATGCCTGGCTTGAAACATTTAAAGGACAGGCTGACTCTCAGGCACTAATGCAGCTGGTGACTTTAAGTTCTGACCTACTACTTAGAAAAAAAAGATTCCTTTCAAAACATTACTGCCCAATGATAATGGACCTGGGCACCCAAGAACTCTGATGGAGATGGACAACGAGATTAATCTTGTTTTCATGACCGCTAACACAACGTCTAAGCCCATGGATCACGAAGTAATTTCCACTTTCAAGTCTTATTATTGAAGAAATACATTTCACTGGTCTATAGCTGCCATAGAGCATGATTCCTCTGATGGATCTGGGTAAACTAAACCAAAAATCTTGTGGAAAGGATTCACCTTTCTATTTCGTCTACTCTAGATGCCATTAGGAACATTTGTGATTCATAGGAATAGGTCAAAATATCAACTTTCACAGGGGTTTGGAAGAAGTTGGGTGACTTTGAGGGGTTCAAGACTTCAGGGGAGCAAGTCACTGCAGATGGGTAGGAAAGAGCAAGAGAACTAGAATCAGGAGTGGAGCCTGAAGATGGGACTGACGGGCTGCAATCCGATGATGAAACCTGAATGGATGCGCAAAGAAAAGTGGTTTCCTGAGATGGAATGTACTCCTGGTGAAGATGCCGTCAAGATGGTTGAAATGACAATGAAGGATTTAGAATATTCCAGAAACTGAGTTGATAAATCTGTAGCAGGGTTTGAGAGGACTGACTCTAATTCTAGAAGTTCTCCCATGGCTCCAATGCTACCAAACAGCATTGCATGCTACAGAGAAATCCTCCATGAAAGGAAGAGTCCATTGATGAGGCAAACTCATTGTTGTCTTATTTAAGAAACTGCCACAGCCACCCCAACCTTCAGCGCCCACCACCCTGATGTCAGCAGCCATCACCATGGAGAGAAGACCCTCCAGCAGCAAAAAGATTACAACTCACTGAAAGCTCAGACGACGGTTAGCATTTTTTAGCGATAAAGTATTTTTAAATTAAGAAAAGTATATATTATTCTTTCGACATAATGCTGTATACACTTCATAGACGACAGTATCACGTAAACATAACTTCTATATACACCGGGAAGCCAAAACATTCACTGGACTCTCTTGATTGCAATACTGGCTTTACGGCAGTGGTTTGGAACCAAGCCCGCAGCACCTCTGAGCTGGGCCTGTACTATGTGATGAACGCTCTGCTGGCAGTGTCGGCACACTGGGAGGAGGCGACCTGCTCACTGGAGTAGGGCACAGGTGTAATGGTGTCCTGAAGTCCAGTTTGCACCCATTAGCAAGAGCTGACTATTCTAGTGTCATGCATTTTAGGAGCTGGTTGACTTTATATGGGTAGTTTGAGATCGGCCATGGTGCACACATTTAGATCACAGAAATCGACAAACGTCAGAAATCAGGTTTTCTTAGAGCTGGTCGTTAAACATTTATGGGTATGCGTGTGCGTGCCAACGTGTGTGTGCATGCGTGTGTGCATGCAGACAAGTGCGCATGTGCAGAGTTGCTAAAAATCACAAGGAAGCGGCCTAGCGACAGGCAGACCTGGTACTCCCTGCAGAAGGACACACGGTCTCGGCACACTCACCAGTCTGAGGTTCTTCATCGCCTGGGGGAACATGCCTTGGTGCAACTGTAGTTTGCCCACTTTCATTACCTGCACCCCTCTGACAGGATGGCTTCCGGGGAAAAAAATTCTGGAAGAAACCAAAGCGCAAACAGGGTCAGCAGCTCTCACCTTTGCAGTCGGCGTTCCATCAGGAGACCATGAAGGGGGGGGAGGGGCAGACCCCATTGACCCCTATCAAGAGGAAGCTAGCTGGGTGGTCAGGACGGGGTGGCATCCTGTGTTAGGAAAGAAATGACAGGACTGGAAAGTCTCTCTAATCAGCATGAGAGAAAGGAGACAAGGTCTGCGTTTCTCTCTGGGGGTGGGTGGGAGAGACCAGTTGATGAGCTTATACTCCAGCCTCTCCTGTGAGGCTCCAGCACCTAGAACGGCCTTTGAACAGAAGATGGCAGCTCAGTACATATTGAGTCGATGAATGAAGTGTTCACGACTCCCCACGGAGATACTACCATGCCCTCCTTTTAACTGCCAAGCCCTTGGAGTTCATCATGGCCCATCTTTCGTACAGGACCTGTGTATTTACTTATCATCTCACTGGATTACAGAGCTTTTATTCTGGCCCCCCATCTGTGTTCGCTATGATGTCCTGCATGCAGGAGGAGCTCAATACAAGCTTGACCTCTTTCCCACGTAACAGAATAGAAGAGGGTGTTGTAAGGAGAGCAGAGAATGAAAACGAAGGGCTATGCTCCAAACCTGATATAACTTCCATGTGATTCAACAAGAATTTATTATATCAGAGTCAATAAAATGTGTACAGTTTGGCCGCTTCTATCTCCCGCAACATCTATCCTTAGAGTCTACCAAACTCCTCCTATATGTACAGGATTGTTTCTGGGGCTGGAGGCTGTCTAGCTATAAGCTTTCCCCTCAAGGCCCAATAATCCCACCAGACACAAGACAAACATCCATACCACAGTTACAAAATATGACAGGAGAGGAAATGATTTTGTGCCCAAATGAGGCCTACCTTAGTACATGGTAATGCTCAGTTCAAGGGGATTGAATTACATTGAGAGAATAATGTAAGAGTTATGAAGAGAGAGAGGTGCTGGTGGTTGGTTGGACCGAAGGTTTCCTGGAGGAAGGAAACAAGATATAAACTGGCTCTCAAGGGTTTGGGCAAGCCTGGCTGGATGGGGAAAAGGGAAGCGCATTTACACTGCTAGCATGAGCAAGGGCACACTCCAAATGCTGCTTGTCCAAAGACCACAGGTTCTGCCCTAAGAGTCATGACTCACATAGGGCTTGCCATGTGCCAAGCTCTGCTCTGACCATTTCTCACTTGTGAACTCAGGGAACCACATTTAAGCTCTACTGTGTAAAAGAGAAGAGGCAGATCTACCAAGAGACACATATATTCTCTGGTAAGTGGACACACGTCTCCTTCTCATTCCTTCTCCCTGAACCTCAACTCTTCCCCACACAAAATGTGATATAGAAACTCCTTTCATTCGTGCTCTTCAAAAAGTGGAAAGCAGTCCTTGAGAGGGAGGTATTTCAATCAATAGAAGGTCGGCCATGCTTCTTTGAAAGAACTGCGAAGGGAGATGGAGGGGAGAAACAAAAGCAACACCTGGGTCTTGGATTTTTCTCCATCTCTTGAGTAGACCAGGAGATCAATCACTTCACCCCCCACCCCACAAAATGAACATCATTATCTACTTGTGTGGAAGAGATTTTAAGATTTGCAGACAAAAGGCTTAAGTACAGGACACCATTATCAGGAGGTAACTGCCCCGGACACTTTCCCTGAAAAGCACACCTGAATTTGGGATTTGATTTTATTGCTATGAATGTGGAATAATTAAATTTAAAGGCAAAAAGGAATTTTATACTAAAAATCATATCACGAAATGGATGTCTGTCATGTCAGTTAGCAGAAGGAAAGAAAAATCCTTGGTTCCATGCTGGGAGAGAAAGAGGCACATAATTATGCCCTGACAGGTACCTGCTCTTGTTGCTTAAAGATATTAAAAAAAACAAAGTGAAGTTCAGTCAGGAGAGGATGAGGGGAATGTGTCTGCGAGGGGGACTTGCACATAAATATTTATGGAGCAGTGTCGTGGCTCTGGCGAGCACTGACCACGTGCCTGGATTGTTTCTGGAAACCTCCCAGTTGCCATCTGGAATAACAATCACGACTACTTGCTGGAGTCGCACCCACAGCAACACCGGTGAAGCTCACTCCTGCTGGGAGAAGGTCCCCAGCAAGGGCACGTGGGTGACCGTGATAAGGAGAGAGGAGGGCCTGCCGGCTGTCTTCAATCATGGCACTACCAAAAATGAAGGCCAGCGAAGAGTCTGACCCAGGAATGGCCTCAGGGGGGCCTAGGAGTGTGGGGACCAAGGCAGGAGTCTGAGTGGGAAGGGGAAAGGGCAGGGGAGCCTATGAGATGCTGTGTTCTGTGCCCAGGGTGGTAGGGAATGAGAAGTCCCAGGAGAGTCCCTGCTCTGGCTGGGACATAGTCTAGTTGCAGAAGTGAGGCAGATAAAATCATGACATGGAGAGCAGTGTGAGGGCTGCCATGGCACAGACGTGGGGCTCCAGAAGCAGTAGAGCCCTCGGTGACCAGGGGAGGGTTCCTGGAGCCACATAACTTGAACTGGTCCAGACCAGAAGGGGCCATGGGCTCCTGGGACAGTTGTTGGGGCATTATAAATTCCTTTTCTGTAGGTACAATGCTAGCAATCATGCGCTCCTGAATGCTGGGCCTAGGAGGGAAAAACTGCCCTTGGTGTTTCTGTGGTGAGTAAGTGCCTAGGAAGGAATGTGTTTAAACAAGCAGAGCAAAGCAGCGGCACCCGTACTAGCTTTAACTCAGGCCCATAAGCACCAAGATTGTGCTGCCCTACTTTGCGAGGAGGCTGCAAATCCAGAAAGTGGAATGCCTCAAGCTCAAAGGCTATTGAAGTCCTGGTGGCAGGACCCGCACTGCTGGTCCTGCTGAGGTTTCCCCACATGATGTAATTACCAATTACACAGCTTCACTACAGGTAGCAGTCTGGCACTGAAAGCAGGAAAAAAACATTGATTGTTCGGGATGATTTTTTTTAGAACTGATGTAAAAGACGTGACTGAATTTAAAAGAAGAGCTTAACTTGCCTCTATAAACCGTATTTCATAGTAACCAAAGAGATCAAAGAATGATGGAGAATTTTATGATAAATGGATTACGTTGTTACCAACAGAACCCACTGATCAATGTTAGCATCCTTACAGTGTAAAAATCAGACATCGTGTGCTCTCTGATGTCATACAACAGGAATTATTCTGCACTACCTATAAAGCATCCTTGCCAAAAACAAAACTGAATTTAATCAAGTCCATGCAGTTAAATTCCATTTCATAGGAAAAACAAGTGATAGAGGATCAAATAAAAGCAACCAGCTAAACCGAGATATGGGAAATTCTATAGGACTTTGATGCAGAATTTCAACAGGTCAATGGCATGAAAAGAAAAAGATGGCAGGGGAGGAGAGCACTCTAGATTAAAAGAGACTCAAAAGATACAACAACCAAATGTCACATATAGACCTTGTGTATTTGACCTCAAACAAAACAATCATTAAAAGACATTTCTGGGAATTCTAGGAAATCTGAACATGAAACAGCATTGTTGGCATATAACGAAATGTCCACATTTTTCCAAGATGCAAGCTAATGAATGGATAAAATGATGTAATGTCTGAGATTTGATTTAAATTTCCTCAGCAGAATTTCTCTTCCAGCAATGGTGGATTAGTTCGTTTCAGACCGAACTCCTTGTTAAAAACAAGAAAAGTTAGACAAAATTTACAAAATAATTGTTTGAAGGTACCACAGACCCACTGAGGCCGAGGGATCTGGAGGAGTCAAAACTGCGGAAAGAACAGAAGCTCAAGAAGGTGATCCTTAAATTTGTTGCCACTTTTCCCTTTGCTGACTTGAACGCAGAGGCAGACAGGCTCAAGAGCTGAGCAGAGGTTTTGGCAGTCTCACAGAAACGGACATAGAAACGAGCTCAGGGTGCAACAAGGATGGAAAGGAGCCCTGGTAAACATCCTTGACTTTCATTTGTGACCTCCAAAGGGTAAGGTAAGAGTAGTAGTAACCCAGAAAGAGACCAGCCCTCACAAAGACTCGATCTGTTCAAACCCTGAATGGATTAAGGTGATCTGTTCCTACAAACTGCCAGAAGCAAAAGTAAATTCTCTTTGAAGTAAAATGTCATCCTGAACCTATAATTATTCCTGTTCAATGTCCAATTGCAAGACATTCAGTAAAATTATAACCAGGCATACAAAAAACAAAGGACTGTCTGAAAACCAAGAGAAAAAAAACACAGACAATGAAACAGACCTATAGGTACTCAACAAGTCAGGTCTTTAAACCAACAGGTCTTTAAATGTAAAAAGTATGTTTGACAACTTAAATAATAGAAAAGAACTTTAGCAAAAAATTAGAAATAAAAAATAACCAATGAAATTTCTGGAACTGAAAAATAGAAAACTGGAGTCAAGAACTCAATAGCTTAACATCAGATGCATCACAGCCAAAGAAAGAATTAGTAAACTGGAAGGCAGGTCAAAACATGGAGAGGCAATGAAATGGCAAATAAAGGACCCTGGTCTCATACATGTTAACTAGAATTTCAAATTAGGTTAGAAAGGGAATGGGGCTGAAGCAATATATGAAGCCATAATGGCTGAGAATTTCCAAAAGTAATAAAAGACAGCAAATAACAGATTCAGAAATGCTAAGAACTGCAAAATAGAATAAAACAATTCAACAAAAAGGGGGGAGGGATAAAATAAGTGTTGCAAAATTTTGATAATTATTGAATATGGATGAGGAATGTAAGAAAGTTCATCATATTACTCTATTTTTGTGTATGTTTGAAATTTTTCATAATAAAAAGACACTGGGTTTTACTTTTTCACTTTTGGGAATTATGGCCTCTGGCAGATAACTGCCTCAAGTTTAAAAAATTCTGGATTTTTAATGAATTGTAAGCCTCATATAGAAATGACATGGAAACTCACAGGGGACTGGGCCAAGGAAGCGTGAAAAGGCAGATGAAGTCA